GCTTTCGATACTGATCCCGAATATACGGATTGTTCTGAAATAGTTTATTCTGAGGTAAGGAAAATAGGATATCCCGTAAGATCTCAACCAGGCGTCGGTTTCTTTTACTCACCAACGAAGGACGGCGGAACCGGTTTGTTTTCGTGAAAATTCTAAAAGTTTAGTGGTTGCTGAGTAAATTGCAAAAATCATCTGGAAAGCTATCGATGATACACAACTCCCTCTTGGGATGCATCCATGCACTCGGCTCCTACCAACAATAGCCTAAATCCGTAAACGACATCTTTGAGGACGATTTGTTTATCGGATGTTTTCCGGTGTGTACACTGCAATCCTTATTCTTCCAAACTGACAGTAACAACTCAAAGTATCTCTAGTTTATAGAATGGTTTGCAGAGATCGTTTGATGAACAAATCAATTTGGCCAAGCCACGGCTGCGGGATAGTACTCAACAACCACCCTTTATGCTTCGAGTTAATTCGTACGCTTTGATTGTTTAACAAAAATTTCCAATATCTATTGAGACCTGTGATAAAGGTCGCTTCTACGTCACCACTCCGAGGTCCTGAGAAGAAAAAGACTTACCTGAAGTAGCCCTCGGCGTTCTGCCCTCGAAAAGTCAGCTGCTTAACGTTCTTCAAACGTCGTTCTCCCGGGTAATGAACAATGTTATCATAAGGAGTGGTCTTCGTGTCCTGCCAGCGCATAGCATTTTCCTTAAAATGGGACGGATCAAGAATTTCAGGGTTGGAATGGGGGGATATGTTAGAAAGTAGGAAATAAAAAAGATCCTGAACCTGAATTGACTTTTCCGGAACACGATTCGTTCGCAGTTCCGCCTTTGCATCACTTTTATCATTGGCATTCCTTCCGGAGTCTACCTTGAAAGAAAGTGGGAATCTAGGAAATAGGATCTCGATTTTTCTATGACCAAGCATAATGAGTAAGAAAATCTAGTAGGCTTTGCTCATTGATCGTGTCCATTTTTGAATTTCGCCATGTCTATGGTTCTCGACAAAAACAAAAAGGCATTTGAAAGTGCAGTTCAAATACTAAAATTGTCAATGACTACCCACCCAGTCAGCGATATACAGATTAAGACCCTCTGAGCCTGCTGGACCTCGATTTGATGACCAGACCAATTTCTTGCCATCATGAGAAAATACTGGGAATGCGTTGAGATTTCCATCGCCGAAGGTCACCTAAAATCAGTTTTTTTCTTCAGAAAAAGTAAGAGCGGACAGAACGAAATGGGGGACACCTGCTCGAGTCCAGTGCCATCTTCGTTAATGATATAGAGGTGGAATTCTGAGGGCCTCGTCGAATTGGCATTTGAACTAAAAGTCACTTCAAAGCTACCACCTCAGTAAGTTCGTATTAAACTTGTCTGACCGACCTGAATATGATTCTTTTATTATCCGGATGATAATAAGGGGTCCAATTGAGACTACCACGTGGTTGTTTGAAGACAGAACGTTTGTCAGTGCCGTCTGCGTTCATCACGTACAACTCCATTTCGCTAATGGCCACGAGATCGTTTCTGAAAATGTTCAGAACCTGCAAAGCACTTGTTTAATCAACAAATAAGGAAATCAGACTCAAGTAGATGTTCGTAGATTTCGATTTCCTTTTTTGTTTTTGGTCGAGTTGCATGGAAAACAATTTTCTTGCCATCTGGAGAAAAGGAAGCCCCACCATCGTAGCCTTTTTCAGTTGTCAGCTAAAAACATATCATTGTCTGTGTTGCCTAAAGAGTTTGTCTGATTATTATTGGGGCAGGAAATCCTGCATATAAACTCATGGTTCTGGCCAAGAAAGGGAGAGAACTAGAATCGAACTAAGGCAAAACTCAACTTCTATGGCTCAAGGGGAGCCTCAGTGCCGTTTCTTGAATCTCACCTGTTTTTTGTTTGTCCCATCGAAATCCATGATCCAGAGATCCAAATCACCACTCTGCTTGCTGGTGTAGACTATTTTCTTGCCATCAGGACTAATCGAGGCTTCCGAATCGTAGACGCTATTGTTAGTGAGTCGATCAAGGATATTACCATATTCATTCACCTGTATGAATCCTACAGCTTCTCTATGAAGAAAGCGACAGTCTTCCCAAAACTGACCTTGAAAATATCATAATCCGGGAAAACGTCCCATGCGTAGCCAGACTTACCTGAAAAGGGGATGGTTCATCCTCAAATGATGCCAACAACTCGCAATTCACTTGCTTTCTACCTAGCCAATGCTCTCTTCTCATAGACGGTCTCTTTTTAGTTCTACGGTAAGCGTATGTCCCAGAAAGGTGTTTGTCTCATTAGTAATGAAAATGGAACTAACATATTTTCCTCAGTATTTCATCTTTCTGGACCTCTGATGAATCACACTTCCTCGGCGTGCAGCTGGCGTCATCCGTAAGTTTTTTAGCATCAATTTTAGTCTGAAAAAGAAAAATTATGATCAGACAAAATTAAAAACGTCAGAAGTTAACCGCATATTCGTTGACTATAAACACAGTATGGACATGGTGGGCAGAGCAAGTGACTGCAGTAATGTGGGTCAGTGTGGTTTGGTATGGGTTATACGTGGATCTTGCTTTCATGCAGAGGTAACTGTCAAACTTCAGCCACCCGCTAGAATCCCATAATTACTCCTGAAAATCATTTATCACAACTTCTCAATTGTTGAGAATCACCCGGGAACTGACATGGCCCAAGAAAGAAGTTAACGGCTCACCCTGTGGAAATTTCCAGAGTATACAATGTCCATGCTACTTGGGAAAAAGGGCGCAGAAGACCCAGCAGAAGTGCCGATTCCAGTGCTGATCCTAGACAACGTCTCAGTTGGCCGGCTCAATTCTACGCGATAGACCTGAACTTAAAAGCAACTTAAAAAAGAACTGGAAGATAATGATGTGGTAAAAACAGATTGACACAACCAAGTTCCTACGTAACCTTCTTCTGACTAGCAGAATCTTGAAAATTTTAACAATAACGGTCTAAAAATGAAGAAAAGGGTCAATGGCGTCACAGAAATCTGAAATTACGCAATAGGTATCCGCTACTTTCTTCCTTGATTCATCATCTCCTCACAATCCTCCCTTATCCCTCCTCCTCTTCCTGCTGCAGCTACCGTCCTGCCGTGCCAGTTCACTGCTGGAAATTTCATAGTAGTTATGGAGTTCCACAACCTCGAAAAAACCTTCTTTCAGTCTTTCCTCCCAGCTCAATCTGCTTGGCCTCTTGTGGACTCCCCTAACACCATGATTTGTAATGTTGGGAAGCTGTAGCACCAATCAATTTTCGATTCTTGATAATCCAGTGTTCAGGATACTTTCATTTCAGTATTTTGTCAGTTTTGCTATACTATACTTGAATAATCGGCTCAACAGCCCAAAAACGTAGCAGCTTTGGTATTATCTTACAGTAATGAGGTACAGTATAATCCTCATTCTTTGAGGTACCATTTCGATCAGATCATTCACGGAATTTGCCTTTTTGTATGATCAATTCCAACTAGTTTGTAATCTGGCAGCCATCAAACTTCGGTGATACAGCTGTGTCAAAAGATTACACTGCAATTGTATTTGAAGTACAAATATCTGCACAAAAAAATCTTTCTGAGTTCTTTATATACGATTTTGGAAAGGCCCTGTAGTAGTAATACTTGCAATCAAGACCTATCCAGCCTAAATACTCGACTTCATCGGTCCCCTAACTTCTGTTGATCGGAAACGCTTCTACCGAATCAATGGGTAAAAAATCCAAGAGCGCTTCCTAAACTGGCCTTTGATGGGGTCAGGATGAGTAGTTGAAGGCGTTTCACGCTGCTATCGATTGATTTTATCGAATATCGATTGATGGTGGAAGCAGGCGTGCTGCCCAGTTGTGTCGCCCGCACACCTCAGCCTACGCCCAGCAGGAGTGGCGATATCGCGCGCGGCTGCCGCAGTGCCGCCGCGCAACCACCATCAGGGGCTTTCTGGTTAGAGTGAATGACCGGGGTGGGAAGAACGCCAGATTTTTCGCGATTTTTCTAATTTTGGGACTCACTGGGTGGAATTTTTCAGAATTTTTTGGAAATACGGATAGTATCTCACCTGATCGCAATCAACACCATACCCAGATGCCTGGAACACCAAGTACGTGTCGTCAGAGCTAAAATAAGCATTGGAAATTCTAGCAAGAAGAAAATTATGAGCACCTTCACTCACTTGTAAGACGGTTTGGAATGGCTTTGTCCAAATGTCAACTGTTGCACATTTTTGAGATGTGTTTCATCTGGGAAATGAATTTCACCCAAGCAGTCCGTCAACAGCGGTGGGAGCAGGATTGCCAACCAGCACTTCATCTGAAAAAAATGAAAAGAGTGCAGAAATCCTTCAAACGATTCGAAAACAATGGGAATGCATAAAAAAAGACGGGCGATCACTATTCGAACATAAGAGGAGCAGGATGAGCTACTTTTTTTCTACGACTTGGCTGTGCAGGCATTTTTGGTAATACGGTTAAATCAGGCTGAGAAATTGACTGAAAGATATCAATTCAAAAACGATTACTGTGAATTAGGCCTGATCTGGTAGGCTTGGCAGGTTATATTTACAGCAAGAACGACGCTGATTCATACTTCTCCGACCGGTTCTGAGCTATGGGAATACGTCACTCAATAAACGAACAGTTTTGCAGAACAGGTTATACATACATGGGTATTTGCAAGAAAAAAATATTGAGCTACCTTTCATTCGGGAACCGAGAGTCTGAAGGAACCTATTTGGAAGGGCGCACTCACCATAAAATAGTCTCAAGTCGTTAATCAACATGAGGATTGAGTTCGATCGTCTTAATTGGATTATGGACAATTTCTGAATTCTGTATAATCGTTTTTTTTTTTAAATTATGAGTGCACATTGGCTCATCAAAGGATTTTCCGCTTTTTGCGGCACCAAGGTTCCAGAAAATGAAGCACAAGTCAATATCAACAATATTGAACAAGAAAATCGGAAAAAATGTCGATTTCCTGCTGAGTTTTCGCTTTATAATGCTATTTCTGAAAACGCATCTATTAGTAACACCTGAACACGTTCCGTGAACCCAAATCGACAAAAAGGCTTCGTAACTAGATGGCTGAATGATGAAACACCCCAATCGAATTGTCACCAAGGGCTTCATTTAAACAAGTACATTTTGAATGTAAAATGTTAAAATTAGATCTTTCTTGATCTTCACTTTCTCGAACTATAAATGCGCTGATCTATCGCGTCGATGGCGTTGGTCCCTCGTTTCAGCGACGCCGTATCCCTTTATCTGCGCTCTCCTCATTGCCACTGTGTCTAAATTTTTTGCCAGTCCCTCGATTTCGGCGAGACGTTTTTTTTTTCCTACCCATCGATGGTGGAGATCCAAATGCCTGATCCCTCATACCACACATTTCCAAGCGAAGATCAAGCACAATCCATTTTCAAAATTTGAGAAGTCCCTCGTGTGTATTGTGGTAGTATTCTTGATGCTAATTCTAATTATGCAGGTTGTTTGAAAATCGACAATTTTAACC